ATTTCAAGATGTTTTTCGTGAATGGATTTATAAAGAAAAACATCTCTATCTTGGATACATTAGTTATAGGAAGTCGCCGAAAATATATTGAACTTTTGAAAATTTCGATAATTTAGAGATTTTAACGAAAATGTGACCAGCGCAATTTTTAAACATCCTTTGCGTTATACTAGGAAAGTTTTAATACGAAAATTTGAAGCCATTTTTAAGAAAATTTTGAAAATTGAGGTTTTGCGTAAAGCATTTCCAAAAATCAAACTATCCATTTTAAACTCACAAGGTCTTGAGTTCAAACAGATATTACGGGGAGTTTAAACTTTGGGGAAAATCGAAAGAGTTAGGCGCTAGGACAAAGATAGACTGACGCTTAGCTGACAAGGGATTTTCGGTATCAAGGACACACAAAATATGAATTCTGACTATACATATTAAATGAAGTAATATTTATCCAATTTTTTGATGCTGAATCTGAATACGTGTTTTCGGGTACTTCATATTAAACATTATTTTAATTTTCTCAAAAATGCTCCAAATTATTTATTTAATTTTTTCACGGGATAAAAATGACGTTGGTCCCATTTTCGTCATTTTTTTTAAAAATTGCAAACAAAAAATAAATTTTACAAAACTACAAATTATAATATTTTTTCAAAATGAAATATTTTTTTAAACTAAATTTTGAAACAATGTAAATAAAAATCTCTGAATTTTTTAAAAGTGCACATTTAAATGTTCAACGTTTTACGTCGGGATGAACTATGCTCTGGAGCTCGTGGTGTAAGGTCAATGCAAATGGCATTCTAACTACAAGAACTCTGAATTCGAATCTCAGCGCGAGGGACTTTTTTCTGATTGGAAATACTTTTACAGGTTCGTGTAGTATTATACTATTGCGTTGCTGTTACAATTAATGTGAAAAAATATGAGCTTTTGTAGCCATACTAGTTATTATATGGTAAACAAGATAATCTTGTTTCATGCACACAGGCTTTTTTTTTCATTATGAAAAAGAAATTGGCAAATTAAAGACGTACCACACGCTATTTCTGCAGGGACATTTTCATTATTTGCCTTCAACAACTTACTTTGACCGATTGACCGAGATCGTTAAGGCCGCTTCGTTAGTGCCGTATCGTTAGTGCCGTAGCGATCTCGGACCGAAGATCTCGAACCGAAAGATGCGAGTTTGAGTCCCGCCTCGGGCATGGTTGCATTTGTGTTCGTCCTTTCACCCCATGTCATCACCATATCATGTCATCTTCACAGTTACCATACCGTTAAAAGGTATAGTGGCCGTTAATGGCCTAGATGTTGATGCGACCTTAAATAACAAAAAAAAAATCTTAGTTTGAACACCAAGTTTCCAACGGTGGAAAGTAAAAAAAAAATCAAGTGAACGTGCTTTTTTATTTAATCCAGATTTGGGTTTTAAATAAGTTTTTTTGTTGTTAAAATAAGGTTTTTGAGTTAACATTTGCGTTTGAGGTTAAAATATTATTTTGCAAAATAATGTTTTCGGTTACAATAGGGATGTCTTAATTTAAAAAAAAAGAACGTCTCTTCGTGATTTCAAAATAACTACCATTTTATAATTTCATTTGGTTTTACCTGATATTCACTGAATTGTTTTCAACATGCCCACTTGGAAGCAAGGGTTCTTGTGCTTGTTTTCGTGAGCGATGTAACTACTTCATTCTTTTTAATAGTGTGTTGAATGTTACGAAGCCTGTGCGAAATATTACAAAGCGTGTATGAAATATATTTCTTACACGGAATGATAAAAAATAGGTTATTTAATATATGTGCGCGAGGTGATTCTTGCACATGTTACATAACTTACTATTTTACAATTTTTGTGCCTGTCCCTATGACTGCGTCTCTCCGCCCGTCTGTCAGTCTGTTAATCGAGACTAATCGCGGGAACGGTATACAAAATTCGATGTCTTCCACAGAAAAGTAAAGTATTTTGTTGGACGTCATTTAGGCTATTTTTGCATACCATTATTTTATATTATTAAGAACGTTTGCTTTGACACAAATATACAGTTTTATTCCTACTTCATGAAATTTTGTACTTATGACCTTCAAAAGAAGAGAAAAGTTACCTTTTACATAATTTTTCGTAAAATGACCTCCATCGCCCTTTCCTATATCTTATAGCAAGCTTAAAGAGTGCACTCATTCTGTTTCGCGAAAACCTTCAACATCGATTGCTTCATTATTTTGTGTCTCCGGTCGCGTCAACTCCTATGGCCATTAGACCCTTAAGTGCAATGCATGTTATATCCCGGGTGGAGGCGATTTTCCTCCTCTACTGGAACGTGTGATCCAGCGCCAACCTACACCTTGTCTTATCAGAGTTTCCATCTTTAAGAATCTCTGCCAGTGAGGCACATCCCCCGTCGGGACAAATTTTAATGCTTCTGACATGTGTACGTGTATGGTGCATGTCAGATGGTATAGTGTACGTGTATGTGAATGATAAGGGAGGGGATACCTGAGGAAGGAAATATTGCGCGCGGGCGGTGACACATTTATTACGATACTGCTCCGGAATTCGCCTGGTATTGACTGGAAAAAACACAGAAAACTACCCTGACAGAGCAGCCGGCCGCTGGGATTCGGATAGCGGATGGATTTGACCCGCAGGTGTAACTAGTGTCGACAATGCGCCACCGTCGGGAATCGAAACCTAGAACCTCCCAGTCGAAATCGCTACAGTTGTTGCTTTAAGACAACTCAGCTAGTCGTTCTGCATCCAAGTTGTTCGTCTCATAGTAGACCTAGACGTCGTATTTCCTTTTGCAAACGCATCGAAACACGTTCTTGAGTCTTCCTTTGGAGCAAGAGTAGACCAATAGGTGTACAAATGCTCGTTAGAAAGGGGCGTGCACCACATTTTGTTATTCAGAAAACGCTCGTAATCTTCCCCACTCACGAGAAATATCCTCGGGTTAAGCTTGCATTGAAGAGTGCCAGGACATATTCCTTATCTTTGTCGCCGGTGGCTTGCTGGCAGTGATGCCGGCTGGCGTGCAAGCTTTTTTAGAGTGAAGGCGGCGCACCGTATTGGTGAGTTGTCCTTGTGTCATACTACGGGACGGGATCCTCGGCGGTGTGGTCAGACGGTACCAGCAGGTAACATGCAGACGCTCCGCTGCCAAGCCTGCATCACTGGCGTTGGCGTCAATGGATCGGAACTGCCGCTCGTGCGAGTCGGCAAAGACCTCGCTTTTTACGGCGGGATTTCATGCATAGTCCGGTGTCGGAAATGGTTGACCGAAGAGTGTGGATCCGAGCATAGGTGTATGCAGGGGCACCCAGAATAAACCGGGGGATTGGGGTAGTTGATCCTTGGGGCCCCTATTTCAAACAAAAAATTCCCTCCTCCCCCAGTTCACAAACAATGCATTTCTTCGTGCATCATAAATAACTTATAGCGTTAAATTTGGCTTAGAGATAAATATATTTTTCATTTACTTTTCACATAGAAATGAAAAAGCATCCTAAAGCATCCTATTCACACAATTCGACAGCTTCTTTTTATTTCTGGGTTATTTTTTCCTTCTGAATAAATGTAATGATTTCTTTTGAAAATAATAAACAATTTACATGTTTTTAGAGTGTTTCAGTTCTTCTGCAATGCAAATGTGTGCATAGAAAACATTCTTCAAACAAACTTTTGGGTTTATTTTGGCTTATTGCGGCTCAACAACTTGGAATATCCCAGTATTTTATTAGACAAAATATGCTTAAAATTGTCTTATTTTCGAAGTTTCGAAAATTTTTCAGTATTCAGTTTCCTGCCCGGACACCACGTGTATAGTACTTCCTTTAACAAGTGTAGTCAGAATACACGTTTTGTGGGTTCTTTGATGGCAAAACGTCCGTCTGTTCGTCTGTATGTGGTCAATGCTAGCATCCAAACCATACAGAAGATTCTCTTTATAATTGTATTTGTAAGTCCCTGTGCGTTTGAAACCGATATTTTCAAGTTTGGAGATTTAATACATTTTGGAACAAGATTTATCCACTTTCTCGGTACCAGGACCCCATAACACGAGTATTGTGTCGAAAAATCGCCGATATTTGCAGCAGCATTATAAGACTCTCTTTACTGCAGAAACACGTTGTATTACGGAAAAGTACACAAAAAATCTTTAAATGAGGTATGCACAGTTTTCTAATGGAATATTTTACGAGTAACTTTTGTTTGAAGTAAGGGAATTCATTAAAAGTATACTCAAAAAGGCCCCCTATTATTCCTTATGTTTTCCTCATGTTTAGCAAAGGACGCTTAAGATAATGTCGCAGGTTCCATTTTCGGCGGTCTCTGAATTTTTGAAAACGGCAAAAAATGAAAGTTTAAAATATACACTGCTTACGATAGAAGTATTTTCTTCAATGAAATCTGACCTAAAAAATTTTAACCTTCAACAAAGTCACGTGCATTTTTATGAAAACGAGTAGTTTTTGCGTATTCTTTAGCTTTAATTTAATGCAAATTATTTTTAAAATCTAAAAAGGGTTCAATTTTTTCTATATTTTCTCCTCGGTTAGAGCTAAAAACGCTTACAAAAATGGCGCTGATCCTATTTCTGGCGAATCATATTATTATATAAAAATTAACATTTAAAAACTATAATATCGATGATAGCGATTTTTGACTTACTGAAACATGTTCTTTAAAACTAGATCTTGAAATAATGATAATGAAAATCTCTGAATTTTTGAAAATTGCAAATGCAAATGTTCAACTTTTTTAAGCGCCGGGAATGTCGACTTTATCAGTGAAGCTGGTGGTATAGGCAGAAGGTGAATGGCGAGAAACGATGTTCTATTATAACTAGTTTCTAAGTAAGATACATCTGGCGGTGTTCCCAGGGTACGCGCCCCCTTCGATGTTATTTTTATCACATTTGTGCCCGGAGCTCCTCAGTAATGGGAGACCACCGCCCCCTTCGCGAGCACCCTGCTTCTCCATTTGCCGTATTGCAACGATGCCGATTGGTGGGTCACTTGTGGGCACCAATCAAACAGGTTAGCAAGGTCGTTGAACGGCTGAGATCTAGGCATTTCTCGGCGGTCGCCGGATCGCAGATGCGATGCCCGGGAGGACGGAATATCCCTTATCGGTGCAGGAGGTCTTCTGTAACGCCCTACCTTTTTCAGTGGCGGATTTTCAGAGGAGGCAAGGGAGGCCAGGGAAGCCAGGCCTCCCCACAAAATTGTTTAACAACACTAAAAGATATATATTTTTCGAACTTAAAAACTGTTAGACTAAACTTTGTCTAAAATTGACATAAATGTTTACGGCTGGCGAGTAAACATTTAAAAGTTGTTTCCCTTGCTGCAAACATAGCGTTACAATGCAAGCAGTTCTATGCGTTACAGATACAAACCAAGTACTAACACAGCTTGTGCCTGCAGGATACCGGCGGTCCAAGCTGACGTGCGCCTCCCCTGTTGCGATGACAACGTCCTTCAACCAATAAGAAAAGAGTAGATTCGTTTTGTTTAACTTTGGAGTTGGTTTGTTACGAGGTTCTCGCGCGTCTGGTCTCTTCCTGCGAAGGCGTGTTGCGATCATAGAGAGTGATGCTCTGTGGTTGCGATGGTGGTGGTGTGGCAGACCCAGTATGTCAGTGGACACAATAAACTCTTTATTGGAAGTGTTGTTTTCGCGAAGAAGTAATTCTAAAAGAAGAGAAATATTTTTTTTTAAAATTTGGATTGTCACCAATAACCGTTTACTAGTAAACCAAAGGTCATTCACTTTCAATTTCACAATATGATTCGGTGCCTAAATTTGCCTGGGTGACTTTTAGTTCTGAACCCACCGTCCGCCACCGACCTTTTTATTTTACGCATTTCGCTTTCCACGCGATCCTCGGTGTAGCGGCGATAGCTTCTCCAAGGCACGAGCGCGCGCTTTCACTATTTTTCAGACTCTTCGAACGCCTCTCCTTCCACATTTTTCCATTTCAACCTTTTCTTCACGCGAATACTCTCAGCCGTTCGGGTGACACCACAAGGGCTGTGATGCTGGACAGCCGAGAGCATTCGCGTGGCTCAGGCTGAGGAAGCCTTCGACATCAACTTTCTTCCGCTGTTTCCGCTGCTATGCCGACCCTTTCCCATCGGTGCCAGTACGTCGAATGCAATCTCCATGGGCGCTCGGGTGGCTATTTTCGTAAGAACCGTCGTCTCTGGCGAGTTCGCCAATTAATATCATTACGCAATCTTCAACGATCACAATATTTTCTTTCACTTGTTTCAAGACACATCCTTTCTCATTAAAACCATTAAATAACGAGGGATTGTTTGCGTGAGGTTCATTTATGATAATTAATTAAATTAATAACTGAAACTACTGGCCTTGATTGGTGTGTTTAGAGCGACCAACGCAAAGCTCTTGTACGACGGGTCGCGAGTTCGAATGCCACCCTGAGTATGGATGTTTCTTCTCCTATCCCCAGATCTGAGAAACCCGCAAGTGTGTTAGTGTTTAGTATATAGTATGAGATACAATCCGTTTGGTTGATGAGGGTAGCTGCCTCCGGTTGGAAAAAACTCTAAGAAAAACTTAATCATTTGTTAGCATCTTTAAAATTCTTTGTATTTTCAGCCCTAATTTGTTTATTCTCTGTTAATGAAATACTTAAAAATTGTTTCAGGAATGTTAGACATTTTGAAAAGATTAACATTTTATTGTATTTTATATGCGTCTCTAAGTTCAGCAAAAGAGGCAGAAGATACAAAAGCAGCTGAAACAGATTTGGAATCTCATGGTAGTCCTGGCATAGTCATATTATATTCGAAAAGTTCTCCAAGAAAGGAATATGGTAATATAATTGTTAACAGATTAAACATTATATTTTTATTGGAGATACACATGTTGACATATTTATTCTTATACTATTTTTGTTTAATATATTTTACTCGTGAATGCTGATGTCTTTCTGATTCCAGAATACCCTGATAACTTCAGGTTGTTTGAAAATCCGTCAAGCATTAACGCTCTGGGGCCATCAAACAAAGCAAAACATGGAGCACCTCAACCTTCCTGCGCTAACGATGAGCCATACTGTCTTTTCAATAGGGAATATCCAGAGTAAGTATCCAACACACGTAGCACAGTCTGGGGCGGTAGCCGCTCAGCAACAAAGCAAAGTATACAAATCCGAATATATGAGTAGTAGTTTTTGAAAAAAATAAATATAGACTAGGGCCATAATGAAAAGAACCCCGCAAATGAAAATATTCATTTGAAATTCGCAAGTTCTGTGTTCGGGCAGATCGTTTATGGTATATTCGTTTTGTGAAAAATAAAATGAAAAATTATAACGTTAGGCGAGTAATGTTTCTCACAGGCGGACAAACGAACGAACAGACAAACGTTTTGAAAAAAAGAAATTTCGGTATCAGAAGCCACCAAAAGATGTATTTCCGTCAAAATCTCGAGATCGGTTTTCCCCTGTAAAAGTCCGGTTGCGCTAAATCCTTTGAACATTTGAATATTGTAAAAAATCAACTTTTTAGGAATTTCCCTTGTGAACTAAAGGCACCACTTTCATTACAACTTTTGTGGGGTAACTGAAATTCCTCATATCCCTCATGACGGGTCGCCTGTCGTTTGAGTATAAACACGAGTCTGGGGAAGAGGAAGAAGCCTGGGAGGGCGACATCTGGACTGAAGGGAGGCTGGGTGGTTGTGTGGAACTAGGAACTCCTCTACAATGATGTGTCATGGAGCATTGTCGTGGTGGAGCTTTCAGGACTTGGTGATGGCTGGCAGTCGACTGAAGAATCCGAGTTATAAATAAAATTCTCGGTATGTATAAATGGCACAAAGACCCTGTGAATCACTTGAGTGATCATCATCTTCAACATTCTGACCTCTAAAGACGTTTTCCTCTCAAACACAGTGTCTCCCCATAAACTGTACGGATCACGCTAAGAGTTTCACTAGAGCGTTTATTGAGTTTTTCGCAAAATATAATCGCTTTCCGCTGTACGAGTAAACTGTTCGTGTTTGGTCGTGGTGAACTCACATTACAGCGATTCCATTGACTTGTTCTACATTTCGCAAGGGATTGGACCCAATAGCTTCCACACTTCCCAATCAAAACCCTCCACCACGCCCACAGAAGTGAAAAAGAGGTAGAGGTAGAAGAGAATGTGATATAATAATAATAATAATAATAATAATAATAATAATAATTTACTACAATTGTCTTATTACCAGATAGCAATAACAAGAAAACAGATTTACAATGTTATAAAGAAATTTGTATCCAATTTTCATAAATAAAAGACTATTCATTATTCTAATTTGATTTCAGAGACAAAGTACATGAAATTATTAATAATTATCATGATGATGTTCACCATATGTACCACGGACTCAATCATTACCCTATAAAAGATTACATCACTCATGACAACTTTACTCATGGTTACAGGTAAGAAAGATTGATACCTACTTAATGTTGGTACATTGAAAAGTAAAGTATCAGGTTTATTATTCTATTTGTTATGTAATTGTAATTATTATATTTCAGACACAAAGGCAGTTTTGTTTGTGAATCGGACGTGGCCTACATCCGACCTGGATGGGCAAAAAATTGGAAAAACGAATGGGTTGCAGTTGTCAATACAAACAAGTATCCGCAAAGCATTCGAATCGAGAAGTGCAAGTATGTGGAAACATTAATATTCACATAATTTTTATTGTCAACAACAAAAAATTATTAAAAAATTAATATTTTTTATTGGTTTATAGTATTAAGTTTTTAAACATTTATTTCACTGTCTCAATTTGGAATGCTCAAGAAAAATCAGAAATTCTTCGTCCCGCTGTTGAGACTGAGAAATATCAGACTTGCTCATTTCCCATTAATTCTCAAATCTATTTACATGACTAAGTGTTTTTCTGTAGCACGGGCGGTTGCACATTATCACACAGATACAAAGATCGCACTGACGCTAAACAAAAGCACAAAATAATCTGACTTCGCAGAACTCTAAATTCTATTAACAATATTTGAATCTGTGAAATCAAAAACGTTTACAGTCCAGGTGCTTCAAAGTTTAAAGAGCAAGCAAAAAGGTTCTACGTTCCGGACATCGTTCATTTTGTCTTTACATTAATAGTTGAAGGACACTCTACAGACGTCACAGAGTCACGAGCAGCGAACTTTTATGCCTAGAAAGTTGAGTTTATATTTTAAGAACAGTTTCCCACCTTTAACTTAAAACCGGCAAAATGTGACATCGAACCTTTTTGTTCGCACCTATTCATTTATGTCGTTGAAATAGCCTTTTGAAGAACTTTAGAATGGTCTCGAATCTTCCATACGTGGTAATACGATATGCATAAATTAGTATGATGAAGCACTATTAAGGCATTTAATACTTACTTTTGTCTGTCATTCGATTCTTCGCACTTATTCTTGGTCTTCATTTTCTCGACAGACAGGTTTGCATACATTAATTGTGTTTTGTAAATGAAAATTATTATGAATGCGTTAATACATGTACACATGTCTACCGAAAACGTGAAGGCCAATAATAACAGTCCGAAAATATTGAGTCATTTATTTCAGGTTTCTAATGATTAACTCTATTTAACTTTTGTTTCAGGTATGGAGGGAAGAAATGCGAATATCTTCCTTCATGTTATAAATCATTTTGTGTTCAGCGATATACTTATGTAAAATTGTTATGTGTAGATCCTTTCAACCCGCATTATCGACCAGTGGTGGATGTGTTTGAAATTCCTAGTGGTTGCTCTTGTTTTGTCGAAGATTTTGTTTATTATTAAAAATGAATTACGTATTCAAATTTATTTTAATTTTATTATAAGTTACAAAAGAAACAATAAATATTGACGGGTTTATGTTATTTCTTTTACACAGGTTAAAAAGTAGTCAGTTCCCACAATTGCTTTCTATATTTACAATGGTTCAATAAGTGTCTTTTCCGAATCTCGGATTTCATCCGAAAGGTACAAATGACTTCGGGATTAAACGCCTGTGCTTGCACTCTAGTCATCTTAGGAATTGTCACTGGTTGTAGTTGCATTTGAAAAATTAGTTTGCAAGAAGTACGCCCTCATCCTGAGAATATAAATTACTTTGGGATAAAATTGATCATTCAGATTTTAAGAATATACAAAGGGTGCAGTACATTGATGTACACTTTTTCATCGTACAGACACAATTTACAACTTAATTAACATAATTAGGTTTAATTTATTCACGTAATCTCTTGAGATACCTGCATGTCTCCAAATGTGTGGAAGACTTTTTAAGCTTTCCTATTATCCTTTCACCCTAAGAAAAAACCTGATGTTATCAAAACATAACCCAAATTCAGAAAAATGGATTGACACATCGGTACCTTTCCCAAGGCCTAGACTTACAGGACAGGCATAGTAGTAAAACATTATTCAATAAAACAAACAAATAACGATAATTTTGTGAACAATTTTGTAGCAAGAATTAGTATTTATTATGAAATATTAAATAATAGTTTTTATTTGATCTTTCTGATAACAATTAAGGAGAAATGTGTAATTATTAACATTATATAGAGTTTATGTCAATAAATTATCCAACTTGCTTCAAATTCAACTTCCAATTTAACTTTACAGAGCTTTTTGTATTAATTTTGTAAACCATAAACCATTATTGTTGAAATCCGATGAATTGAATCGTACTGGTCTGTTTGGGAGTTAACCGATTGAACTCATGAATCAATGAGAAACAAGCATTCAGTCTGTATATATGCTGTAATAGTAAGAGTGTCTGCGTTTGGAGGGCCTGTGTACATAACAACTAAGTTGTTAGGTAATAATATATAAAACTGACAGCTATGATCAAATTTGTTACAAATTAAATTATAAATGTTCATATTTTCTATTTTAATTACGAAAACTTGATGACTACTCTATTTCAAATTAATTTTGATGATCCGATACATGAAATATATCATAGTCTCATATCCTTACTTTCTCCAATACACTAATAATGTGTTTTAATTCGTTCTATCTAGATCCGATGAAAATGGGAAATAATTCCCAAAAACATATCTGTATTTTTAATGTTTAAATAAAAATATTTAATGTTGCCTGTTACATTATTTCTATCATTTATCGACTGCTGTTGGAGCTTTTATTTATTTATTTATTTATTTATTTATTTATTTATTTATTTATTTATTTATTTATTTATTTAATTGAATTCCGTTTGTTTCAATACATCAATGGAAACTACATTTATTTGTCTACCATAAGCTATTGTGTTTTTGTGAATGTTTGGCTCTCAAACGTTTAGAGTTGTTAAATGTCATCATGACAATGATGGGCCAACCAACTCCACAAGTGGGTTTGGGTCCTCGAGCGCTGGGCGATCCGCAAAATATGACGTTGACTGCAGAGTATATGTAACTCCTTATAGCCGCCAGAATCTCCTCCCACCGAACAAATACCAGTGGATTGGAGCTATCGGCGGAGTATCATAGAGGTAAAGAATGCTACTGACAAAGTATGCCGATAACAGTATCGAAGGCCCACATTGCCAGGTTGCGATGCAAACCACAAGTGAGGTTGGTTGCCACAAATCGTGAGGAAGATTGGCACTTCCGTGTAAGAGTGGCGTATTAAATCAATGTCAAAATTAATCAGTTTTTACTGTTTTATTTAAACAAATAAAACCAAACAAGTTTAACACTGATTAATCTTGCAGAACAACGTCACATTGGCAACTATAGCTGTCTTTGTAGTTTCCAAATTAAGAATCTAAAACAGTTTAAAATTTGAATTAATCAGTCATTTACCTCGTTTAAATGCAAAATGATCGTGTCTTTTTCTGGAATATTAAGCCGTTACCCTCATTTCATTTTTCAAATAGCACGCTAAAGAGCATTTTAATTTGCGGTAGACAAGCAAGGTAAATTTACTGGTTCAAGCTACAAAGAAAGAAAATAAATCTTAAAAAAACTAATCTGTAAAAAATAAATAACACTTTAGAAAAAATTAGCATTATTGCCCAGCTAGTCCCATCAGCTGGGAACAAAACGGGTGGTTTCGAAAACTATGATCGCAACTAGAATGTGTGATCAGACAACCATAGACTTGAAAATAAAGTTCCTGAAGGGCACTATTCTAGTTAAAGGCTTCAGTGTTAATGCAGCCAATCAAGCCATACGGCGGGGAGCAACCATCTTTAGCACTGCGGATGACATCACAACGCCTAGCCCTGACGCCAACCGCCAGATGGCAATTTTGCTGATATTCAGAGGGTCACAGACAAAATTGGCAATCTTGTGTGCCATTACGACACATTGACGGCCAATGAAGTCCATGAAAAACTCGGGTGAACGCAAATACCTTTAAAGATAAAGTCCCACCTCTTCTCACATTAAGGTTGTACGAAACAGAGTGGGGATGCCGCCGACACTCTCCATCCGGAAATAATCTGTGTAATTTTACGCTAAACTCTCAACATCCACTATCCATCCAACAACCTTCCGACCCAACCGCCTAGTGAATGCCTTACCGCACGAAATCCTCGTCCTAGACATTCGTACTTCCTAATTCATGGCCACCGTCCTTCAATCTCCAAACCAGGCCTGCACAACGCCTGCACTCGAGGGCCCGTCTGCCATCGAGAGCGGCGAAAGCGCAAGTCTTTGGGAGTAGGCAGCTTTGCGGCCAGGGGAGAAGTCTGACGTTGCACAGCCGGGTCGACCCGGCTCGTAAATCGAATGCCTGGGCATCTAATGCAATGATCCCTGCTGTGAAATGTTTTGTTCGTTTATTTAAACAGGTAATCTCCAGTATTTCTAGCTACAATATCTATATTTCACTGTGTACGTTTTTCTGTGCTCTGCTACGTATCGACATCTTTTACTTTATGATTATTGACACTCGTAAACAAAATTTTAAAGCAGTGGCCTCTTTTAACAATGTATTATGTAATTATAACTAACAAAAATTTACAATTTAATAATTGATTTTTCACTAGGAATATTATAATCTCCAAATTATAGCAAAACGGAGGAAATAGAGAACAATTTCTCACATCGAAATTGATATAAAATTGAACTATTGGCAATTCCAAGATGGTAATGTTTTGCAGAGATACATTGGTGTCCATTTCCCCCCATTATGATGCTGAATAAGAGATACCAACGAGCACACCTCTCTTACGATATTTTACAGGCAATCATGAGATTGTTATGAGTCTTGTTAAAAAGAACGCAAAGAGCTTAATTTTTTATACGATGTCGTAAACGATTATGAATAAATAGTGTTCGTTGATTTGAAAATAGAAATATATGATTTACTATTGACAGAATTTAGAGCAGTGAATAATCATTGTATATATTCATTGTATACTTTCATAGTGTTAGATTAATAAACTGTTAATGAGAAATTCCTCCTCCGAAGACCGTCGAAAAGTTATTAAATTGTTATGTATGTAAAATAATTGCAAAATACCTTTGTAAGGCAATAACTGCCAACCAAGGATATTAATACATTTTAAAAAGGAAGTAATCATGTTTTTTTTAAGAATAAGATGTTTTAGCCTTGATAGAAGATATCCGTCTTATTTACTTAAACATAGTTACTGAAAAAAGTAATTCTATCATCAAAGAAAAAATATTCAATCTTACAATTTTGTGTTTAGTACTACGCTCAATTTGTCATCAGTTCCCTTCGAGCCGTCGCGGAGTCAACATCGCGCTCAGCTCTGTTCCGAACAGTGAAGTGTCTGCCGTTAAGGCTTGTTTAAGTTATTCTACGTGAATAACGTACTTTCATCAACTGGAGTGCCATTTATTAGTGCTACCAATTACAGCACAAAATTCATAAACCATTAAAAGTGGTTAGTACCCAGCAACCCTGGCTTAGGGCAAAGCATAGCCGGGACCATGTCCGCTCTGTATAATCCAGACTGCGCCATGGACACCTCATTCATCACGACGACGCCATCCCATGGTGAACATCAACGCGGTGCTACACAACGAGGCACCATTGGTCTTCAATATGTTATTCTCAATCAACATCCGCTGCACGCGGGAGTCCATGAATTTCCTATTCCGGAAATTCTGGAACTAACGACACGCGGCGCTACTAAGGTCAGTGCTCAGCCATCTGTCAGTGATGCAGCCCAAGGTTAGTGTAACAAAAACACTAAGTGTAAACGAAGATACCGCGGACAGTTCAACATATAGCGGAAACAGAACATTCAATGTCTCAGATGAAAATGAAAATCCTCCTAAAAAAAACAATCAACAGTGCTAAAAGTGTGTATTCAATGCCAGTTGGTAATAGATATGCTCCATTAGAAAATCTAAAAGACCCTGATTTAGGTTTAATTATATAAACGTCACACTAAGCCAAAATGAAAAGTCAAGATTCCACCAATTTATGTGAATAACATAACAAACTTATCAGAGTTTAATAGATAAATCAAAAACAAAATTTCTAATCAATTCACCTTGAATATAATGAAAAACCGAATAAAGCTAATGTTCAAAAAAATAAGCGACTTCAAAAAACAATTAAATATATATTATATACTAAAAGAAATGTTTACACTTATAAAGATAGCGCTAATAAAAAATCTCCAGTTTTTAAAAATGTTCACCAATCTTTATTAATACAAGAAACCATCGACGATGTCAAGAAACGTGCCCTTCGCTAAATCAGTGTTACCAGACTGCACAAAAACAACATTCCTATCACAGTGGTAGCTGCCGAGTTTAACGGCCAACAAAGAATAGACATTGTGTTAAAAATAACGGAAATTTGCAACTTAAAAGTGAAAGCTGAAAAAAGACGTAGAACGAAAGGACCAATTCAATGCCTAAGGTGTTTAGACT